TTCAAGTACCGGTAGGTAACGCAACGAATTTCAACATTTTCAAGGACGTCATTTTAAGGATGTTGTTAAAATATATGGCTTATCGAACAAAATGTTATAAGTTTACCCTCGTTTTGATGTGTTTTTCATATATATAGTGTAAAGATTATAGTTTTTGTGTTATTTATTAATCGTATAGTTAGCATTGCGCCACCCTGTACATTTCTAAGTACATTAGGCCTACAAGTTAAAACGCATTTATTATTATGTATCATAAAATTTAATTGTTATCAAATAATAAAGTGTTAGTATTTTAGATAGTACTTTTTAAGGCATTATAGTATTTTAGTATGGATTAAAATTATATTAGACATTTTATAATGCATGTGCATTCACTGGAATGTTTCACATTTGTATTTTAACTAACGTTAGTAATTAAGATACCCTCTTCGCTGTATCCACGTTACAAAGACATTACATGGTCACCTTAGAACCACGCAGTAGAGTCTCACTCGTCAAAATTATTCCATTTAAGTGATTACATGAAATCGATATAAACTCACATTCCAGCTCAGTGGTATGAAGTTTTATTGAGCATTAGAAGATGTGACGTAATTATTCACTAATGAGCAACATTGAACGTGTGCTTAGAAACACTTATGATTAGACAATAATTAATCAAGCACAGGGTGATTAAAATTGGTTTCGTGATGGCTAATTTTCATTATGTGGTAGTACAGTAGTTGGTTTATGATCGTAACCGACGTTGTGGGGTTAGGTTCCTTCTCTGCTTACCTGGGCACAGAAAACATACTACTATAACCCAGAATGCCAACCGCATGGTAAAAACCATTGTTTTGAGAGAGCTTTGCCTGTCAATTGGCGCTGCCTACGGATTGACAGGCAAAGCTCTCTCAAAACGCTTAATGGTTTTTACCATGCGGTTGGCATTCTGGGTTATAGTAGTATAGTATGTTTTCTGTGACCTGGGCGACGACAACACTCAACAACTATGGATGTTTTCAACACAGTTTCTCTACGATTGCTTTAACAAGTGACGTGAACCTTTTTTCAGTGTCTTCTTTTCGTGTATTTTTTCAGTGTTTGCTCGGAAACCTTTAAAAGTAATAAGTTAAATTACGACTATGAACCAACTGGGGAAATTTATAATGCTCGAGCTAGGAAGTTTGATTTAAATCCATGTCATTAATACCATAGACAAAAATAATTAAATATAGACTGACTGTCAGCCGTGCTGCGGTTACAATGGTTACCATAGGTTCTGGAGCATACCGCTGGGAGCGCCGTGTAGTTACGTAGCTATGGTAACCGCAGCACGGCTGACAGTCTATATTTAATTCTTTTAGCGAATTTCCCATATAGGGAATAAGCTATTACCGTAGGTCTCATGGTAAGACCTGGACCCGGGACCGATTTAGTTTTTCGTTTTGAGGTCCCCAGAGGCCAAAAACACCATCCGTTCAAATTCATATATATATATATATATATATATATATATATGTGTGTGTGTGTGTCCGTTAGCGTGATAACTCGAGCAAAAATGATCCGATTTTGATGAAATTTGGTATTAACGTGTAAACCTACATTTTTTTGAACGAGTTCGCGAACCAGCATGATCGGACTATGGGAACAGGGGTTTATGGGGGGTTTTATGGGGTAAAAATGGGTTTTTCTAATTTTTCACCCTGAAAACATAAAATTTTGCAATTTCTTTCTAAACCATTTTGTAGAGCTCAAAAAAAACAAATAATTTAGTTTATTGAAGCATTGTTGCATGCCTAACGGTTACGGAAAAATCGCAAAATAATGTAAATTTAAAATTACCATGTTATTCTTATGGAGAATAAATACAGTGTTGTAGCTTGCTTGTGTATGGACATATATTTATGAAATTTTGAAATTTTGTTTACTTCATACTGAGCTATTAATATTTCAATAAAACCCCCCTATTTTCTTCCCTGTAGCAGCAAACCTAAGTACTCATTAATATTAATGGTGTTTAAATAGGAAATAAATCTGACAATTTTAAGGGAACAATTTGGTAGAATTCCAGCTGTGTATATGGAAATTCGCTTAGTCTGCAGGTTTGCTGCGGCGGGGGTATTTGTCTATGTTCATACGTTATTATGGATATATTTAGAATAATCAATAATTATGTGAAGTTTGTAGTTTGCCACGGATAAATTGTTTTAACATAATGTACAACTAGTCGATGACATAGTAAGATTTAACTTCTGAGGAGTATTGGAATCAGAGTAGAAAAAAACTAATAAAACTATGGATGAACTAACGAAAGAATTAAACTGTAAAATGAATTTTATAATTCCATTGTAATAGCTCAATAATGTTATATGCCAATGCCTTAGCTGTAAACTCTCAAGAGAACACGTTAAATAAACAGACAAAGGTTTTGATCATAGTGAGCGGCGCGTCATTACAAACATACCCTGTTGTAAACTCAACTCAAGTTTACATTGCTTTTATGGGTACATTTGTGCCTGATAAGCTATCAAGTTTATGTGCTAATTGTGGTTGTTAGCCACAATTCTAAAACTATCATAAAATAAGTTGAAAAAACAATTTGACTAGTTTTGGCAGCCGTGATACACTAACTTTTCTAATGTTTTACAATAATACCTTAATTGTGTCCATTTCATGTTGTGTGATAGCAAACTCACTGAATGCGCTTATTGAATAGTTTTACAAATTAATAATTGGAATGTCAGCACTAGGTACCTGATTGTCCAGCAACCTAAACACTCTGAGCAGAAGCAGAGGATTTAACGGTTGGGCTTGCTTGCGACCATTTATACTCCATTCAATTAGTAGTAATTAATTTACTCACTTTGATATAAACTAGTTATAAGCACAGATCAAAACCAACCATCATAACATCATAACAATCACAACGTCCACTTGTGTTGACGTAATCCCTAAGCATAACGTCACTGGATTACAACAGTTTCAACATCAATTGCTCAATATTCGTGTATATTGTAGAGGTAATTAATTAGAATGACCCGTAGATGTAGATGTCCACGCCCCTGGTTGAGTCTAGACCTTGACCTGGGGTCACTCGGCACTCGGCATGTACCAGGAGCTGGTCAACCTACTGTACTTGTGGGCTTGGGCTACCATCATGAATGAAGGTGGGGAAAGAGTAGTGACTATAAGAGTGTGAGTGTAGGTAAAAATGAGCGTTACAGAAAGGTGTGGATCTACATTTCCGATTTAGCAAATACTTAACCAGGTGAATCGAATTACAAATCTGATTGGCTACAGCAGAGTAAAGAGTGTGGCGAATTTCTTCCATGGCCATCAGGAGAAGACGGTTGATAGAAAACGTAAAGCGGTGGTTCCAATTTACGGCCTCAGGTACAAGCATTAAAAATAAATATATTTTCTCGATACGGTAGTGTAATTTTAATAGCTGATAAAGTTTTTGGATGTTTTGGAGGAGTGTTGTGTGGGTAAGGAGGGTCTTTAAAAGTAGTAGGTACAGTATACATAGACAGGCCCACAGTAGTTAGTCGAGCTTGAATACAAATACAAATACTTGTCTAAAGATCGACCTATAAGGCTTCGGCATCCTTATCATTACGCAGGCCTACACTTCTCCAGTGGGCAAACAAACGAATACCATCTGCATTGCTTCATTTGCATTTCCTGATTACCAAAACTTTGCTTCATAATCGAGATATTAAACTTTGGGCAGTAAGCAAACAGCCTCGTAGACTACTAATCTCATTTTTCATATTACGTCAAGAAATGTTGACTTCGAGTCTCAAAATGTGGGGTGTTTATATGTCAAGAGTATGCCAGTGAGGGTGACATATCTTGACTTGTAACTGAGTCATACATTACGCCATTAGCGACAAACAACTAACTGTACAAGAAACCTTAGCAAATACCGTCCTGGCTTGTATGTGGTAAATGTGTTATCTATGCTTATACATAGTGAGTACTGAGTAGTGAGTAATGAGTGACTAGCCACATCAGTCACGCATCATGTGACAGCGACAGTGACATGACAACTGAGTGACAAGTTACCAACAACAAAAAACGATCTAATCCATCCTAAAATATTGATATACCCTTTTACCTTTTTTAGAACTAACTAAACCACAGAACAACAAGCGTGCCGATTCTGTGCCTTACCCACACACACACAATGTAGTGTGGTAACTCTATACTGTATACGGTATCGTCACATGCATGGTGTCAATCTCTGAACATCATTCTTCGTTTTTCGGTTCTATTCATAAGCTTGAAACCCCATTCATTACATTACTTGCTATAAAACCACCGTAACCGGTGAACAAGATTATTTGTGAACAAAATGCATTGTCAACTTTGAGATTAGCACTAGCCTACGATGTTTGCATTTGATCTCTTAAACGTTAAACTATTTCCGATTAAAATTTTGAAAACAACCACAACAAAAGTATATTACGGGGTTTTTGTTGAAGTTCATTGCATATCAGTTTCACGTCTACAAAGATGCACTTAGATAAAGATGTTGGATTTTTACAGTATCGGTAGGCCTACGTGGTTTCTTCACAGTTACAACATCAGTAATAAATAAATTACTTCCGTAAGGGTTGTTATAGGCTACGTTGCTGTTGCAGCACTAGCACTACTTATCAGAAGCATCAACGTGCATGCATTACATTTAATATATAACAATTTATTTTGTGTGTAATTTACTATAATCTTCTTGCTAAAAGCTTACCAAAAAGAAAGGGGACAACCACTTGCACCTAATTACCATTCAACTTTCACACACACTACGAAAACATTACACGTATAGGAGTGTTAGGTTAATGTCCATTGTCCACTTTCTCTAACTCACCTAAAACGTTCCATTTTTAAAACGTGTTAAAACTGTTCCTAGACACCAAAACTACAACTTTTTTAAAGTACTTTAGGTCATTAATATTTGCCTTGCGTTCGAAATAAAGCACACTGAAAGTAAATTAAATGAATAATTGTAAACTTACTAGAATTCACGATCACAACAGATGCTGAACACTTCAGAGGCGAATCTCACACCACACCACAGCAGCACCGCAGTCACTTTCACCGCGTTAGCGCCGCGCTAGACACATAACCTCACCTCACTCAACTCAACTCACTGAGCGACAGACAACTACTGATCGCGTGGCGAGGTGATGACGTCACGGCGTATCAGCTGTTAGATAACCTCACTGAATCATCACAATGACGGTTGATGATACCAGAGCACTACTAGGTATCCCACGGTAGACTGCTGTAATTAAGGCGGAAAAGCGACTGGAGGTTTGTTTGGTAGGTTGCGTCAGAGAGAAAGTCAGTGATCGACATCCGTGACCTTGAAGTATCTCAGCTTTACCGGATCCGCGACCGCGACGACCTTGAACCTTATCGCTCGGAATGTCGCTGTGTTGGTCGTTGGTGTTATTCTACTGACACCGGACCACGGACCAAACCAACGGAAAGTTACAAACAAGAAACTTAGCGCAAAACAAACTGTAATCGCGCTAAGGGTAATACTTGCAAATATAAATAGGCGATATCTGAGTCGGAGAAATAATGTATTATCAGTTTCCGTGTAGTACTGCATAATCAATGCAGATGTAGGCTACAATGGGAAGTTGTTAGTTTTGCTGTGTTTTTAGCTCATTGTTCATGTTTGTAGCACAACAAACTTTACTTAACACTGATCTTCTATTTTTTACGTTGTTATGCAGGTTTGCTATAAAATATTTGCTTTTAGCAAATTTACTTATTTTAGAACTGATTTACTTTTTCATATTGAAGTCCCCACTCCCCAGAGACCCAAACACCATCCGTTCAAATTCATATAGAGTACTTTTCACTGGAACCCTGACAAACTGGGGGAAACGGTTCCTTGGATCAAAACTAGAAAAAATCCTATAATCATAGTTTCTAAACACACTCGTTTTCTATTTATACGTAAAAATCAATTTTCAATGTTTCAGTGTATCCGTTGAACATTTTGTCATTTTGACCTCTAGAATGAAATAAAATGACAATATATTTTGACTTGCAATGCTAGATAGAACATTAAATTTCAATGAGATTGCATTACCTATTTTGTGCAAAAATTATGGATATGACTAAGAAAAATTAGTTAGACTAATAAAATATTTCCAAAAGAATCTAGATCAAAAAAATATTTTTCGTTCTTGACATCTCTTTACATTGTTAACATTCAAGGTTTTGGCTTACATCTTTACCAAAAGTTGTAGAGTTTAACGGAGACAAGGAAATATAAATTTATGTATACCTTTTTATGGGGATTATTTTTGTCACAATCTAAAATATTGTTAAATACCAAATATTTGAGTGAAAATACAATCCGGCAAATGGAAATTCGCTCAGTCTGCAGGTTTGCTGCGGTGGGGGTATTTATTGTTATCTTGAAAATACTGTCGTGGCAACCCATAATGCCCATGTTAAATTTCTAAAAGTTTGAATTCGTGTAGGGAAGAGCACTGTTGTCAGATTTGTACCATTTCAGATCTATACCTTCCCATAGTTTGTTACTATGTTTGTGCTAAATTTCATGCTGATCGCTTCAGCCGTTGGGAGGAGTATTTGTAAAACAAAAGCAGGAGTGTAGTAGGTTCAATTATATATTGTGTAAATATGGATTTAAAGTTCACTTATGCTACGTTCGCAATATTTAGAGTTTTGAGAGAAATTCTACATTGTAAATAATCCTGACAGATAAACACGTCGCTCAAGCAAACAGGATTTATTTAGCAATTATTTAACGTCAAAGTGAAACATGTTTAGTCTCTAGCCTAAAAACACCAGCAGCAAACAAACAGTGGCTTGAGAAATAATAACATTTTTGATCTTGATAATATAACTAAAATAACGAATCATCATTATTTCTTTATTACTATAGTATAACTATATTTATTATTACTATTTTATATAATTTATTTTACGATTATATTAACACAATATTAAAAGAATCAATTGGATTTTCTATATAGCCTCACATGAAAGAAATTTAGACAGTTAGCTCTCATTTGAAAGCTTTTACACCTTGGCTAGAATATATATTCATTTACGGTTTTAAATTAACATTCAACGTTCAGGGCTCCGCCCCTCAACTGTCAAGCACTACAGTATGTTTATTTATCAATTTTTAACACGATTTCTGGTGATCGAATGACGAATTTATATGAAGCTCATTGGGTGGATGTTAAGAGCACTACCTGCTGTAGTTTTCAATAGTCCCAAAAAACTGCCATACATATTAAATGGGTGGAGCCACTATACCCACGAAACACGTTGTCAGGTAACGTTTATAAAAACACAGAACAAATAAAACTATAGACCAGGACCAAATTGCCGAATCACCAAGTATAGCAGTTATGTTTTTGTACAATTTAAACCACCCACACATAAAGAGAGAAACAGACAGACACTATTAGATTTTTATAAATAATAATAGTATGGATATAGATATAGATCAAATCAACCACAAAAATACTTGTTTAACAAAATTAACAGTTTGCTAAGGTAAATAGTCTGTTAATATTTTGTGTAACATCAAAGAATTTCTTTGACGATACTAAACAAACAAGTACTTATAACCGTAATTTTTCGTGGAATATTTTTAATTTAATATTTTATATTTTTACTAGCTGTAACCCGCGGGCTTTGCCCCGTTTAACTTCTTAATTTTCAAGATTATCTCGTTCGCATGGCTCAATCACGTCCTGGTTGAAGTTTGTTCGTTACGCTCACTCACCTTTAGGTTGGAGCTCGTTCGCTACGCTCACTTGCCTTCAGGTTAGCTCGTTCGCTACGCTAACTCGCCTCCAGGTTGAAGTTCGTTCGCTACGCTCACTCACCTTTTGGTTGCAAATTAGCTGTTGTCATAAATGTAAAACAAATAATAGTGCTGCACCCTGTTGGTAATCCTTGTAACTGTAATGCTATGAACATCATAGAACAGAACCAACTTGTTTAATTGAAACAGCTGTTAAGATTCAATAATTCTATTTCTCATAAGGTTAACATGGGAAACTCCAGAGCCACTGGGGCGGAGCCCGAAAGGATTTTTGAAATAAGAATATGCCTATATGTTAATCGGGAATGTGAGCTATAATCATGCCAAATTTCAGCCCAATCCGACCAGTATTTTTCGCGGTCACTTGTCACAAACATACATCCATACATCCATACATCCATACATCCAAACTTTCTCATTTATAATATTAGTAGGATTAATATTTTGATTTTTATTAATATTTTTATTTTTATTTTATTTTTATTAATATATTTATTATTATTATTTTTATTATTATTTTGATTAATATTTTTATTTTTAATTTTTTTGGAATTTTTCGTGAATAGATGTTTGGTAAATTTTCCGCGTACGGTTTTAAAGTTTTTCTTACCTGCTTCTACGAGTTTAGAATTACCAATCGAACATAATCAACCATAAATTTCTCATTTCTCCAAACAAATTTGTAATTATATTCAATCAAACGCTCAAGGCTTCGGGAAACATTTTCCGCAAGGGCGCTCGTATTTCTGCTTCACTTGTTTTTTATTGCAGAATATTTAATCAACATTCTTTGTACAATACACTACGATTTTGTTTTCAACAACAGGAGAACCTTACCTCGATGTTTACCAAAAACAGATTCAAACGAATTGGCTATTATTTTCTATCTAGCAATTTTAGTTTAGATTCTATGTGCCAATGTATAATCGTTAGGTCGTTATGTTAGGACCCAGGACAGGGACCACTTTTATTTCACGTTTAAGCTGTTATACAAGCTAAAACATTCTAATAAGATTGAGACATTTTCTAAATAGATTTTAATTGTGTTTTTATGATTTGGTTAGGTAGTTAGAAAATAACTCGTTAGGTAGTGTGTTAGAATGTTAGAATGTTGAGCTATATGTTGTGTGGGTACCAGGGCTACTGAGATAGGTGTGATTACTGGGTTATTCAAAGCTTAGGTGTTGGTGATTTGTCGGTTTTATTTCATAGACTACTTCACATTATGATAAACGTGCTATACTACAGTATTCAACTAAAACAACCCTTAACTGGGATTCTGTTTGCTACAACACTGTGTAATCTTTTACTTTAGTGTAATTTTCCACATTATGTAATGTAAATACTCTATCTAAAGTGTGGCTGTGCTGTGTTTGTTGACTGTTTGAGGGATTCTTACAAAACATCTGGTATATCGATTGTGTAACCCTTGTAGGATTAAATATATGTCCTCACTGAGACATTGTCATTCACATTGGGTGTTATAATGTCACAAACATCATTTTATTGTAAGCCAGTTTCAATATAAACTCAATAAAGAAACATACATCAGCTTAATTTGTAACATTGCAGGTATAAAGAATCTATTGTACTACAACTTCGCACGTTTGAACGACTATCGGTAATTACATATACGGAAAGTAAATAAAATATACGTCTTATAACACTTGAAACATTATTTACACTTATACTGTTACTCACAAGACGGTAAATATACAAAAAAGATGGTAAGTAGTGATCGATTTCGATTGGACACTCCAATCATCATCCCAATAGGCGAATGTTCATCATCATCATTCGCATATTGGGTCTGATGGTGATTGGAGTGTCCAATCGAAATCGATCAGCACTTACCATCTTTTAGCGAATTTCCCATATAGGGAATAAGCTATTACCGTAGTACTCATGGTAAGACCTGGACCCGGGACAGATTTTTTTTCGTTTTGAGGTCCCTAGAGGCCAAAAACACCATCCGTTCAAATTCATATATATATATATATGTGTGTGTGTGTTTGTGTGTCCGTTAGCGCGATAACTCGAGCAAAAACAATCCGATTTTGATGAAATTTGGTACAAATGTGTAAACCTACGTTTATTCGAACGAGTTCGCGAACCAGCATGATCGGACCATGGGAACGGGGGTTTATGGGGGTTTTATGGGGTAAAAATGGGTTTTACCCACTTTTGACTCAAAAACATAACATTTTGCAATTTCCTTCTAAACTATTTTGTAGAGCTTAAAAAAACAAATAATTTAGTATATTGAAGCGTTATAATGCACCAAATGGTTACGGAGAAAATTCCAAAAAAATTTTAAATTTAAAATTCCCATGTTATTCTTATGGAGAATAAGTAAACTGTTGTAGTTTGCTTGTTTATTAACATTTTTTGCCCAAATTTGGAAAATGTTTTATTTCTCACTAACTATTAACATTTTACATAAAAAAACACTTTAAACCCTCTCTGTTGCAGCAAACCTAAGTATGTGTTAAACTGAT